GCCCCACCCCACCCCGCGGCGTCAGGCCGCAGGCGTGCCACGCGATTAATCAAATGGTGAGAACGTCAAACGCGGGACGGGTGGGCGACCCGACCAGGCCGGTGCCGAAGCCGACCGCGCCGGCGCTGAAGGATGGGGCGTCAAAACGCTCCACGACTCGCGAGAACCGGCCGGTTAGCTGCGGCGGGCGTTTTGTCGTGGAGGGGAGGGATCGGGTGCTTTTCTTTTGAAAATATAAGATACAGTTTAGAAAAAACCTTAATTTTCGTGATAACACATACATATCGTTCACAAAAAATCTAAATCAAGAATCTATCTTGAAAGCAGATGATACAAATTTAAGAATAGGCCTGTGTTCTAATTTTATCTCCTATTTAGCTGTTTATGGCTGCTTGTTTCTTTGCAATCTTGTAATTCGGCGGAAGTAAAGGGGAAGATACGGGGCGGGCACAGCGGCCGGCGTCGGTATAGGTCAGAAGCTCAGTATTGTTGGGCAGGGATGGGGCCTCGCCTGTCCGGTGTAGCATTGTTGACGGAAGGGGATAACGCGAAAGCAAAAGGCTTCAGCGCGACAGCCAGTCCCCCAGCGCCCAAAATTATTGTTGATGTTGTTTGTGTTTGCTGGTTTGCGCTAGGTCTCTTCTCCTTTAGTTTGCTTCCACTCTTTTACCCAATCGAGAGTTCAAGCTGCTGACACCTTGATATTATTATTTATGTATAATTTTGAAGTTAAGTATAAAGTGTTTCAAGGTATCATCTGCTAAAAAAAACACAAACCATTACGGTGAATTTCACCGTAAGCTACTGTGTAAATTCACCAACCTGCGGTAGGAATAAAGAGAGGGGGAGAAGGATCGAAAGAAGTGGATTGGAGTCAGCGGCGGGGAGAGTGCATCCCTGCCTTGTCCGATGCGGCGGCGGGCCTCTGGGATGGGCCTCCGGCTCAAGGAGGAGGCGAGCGCTTCTGCACTCAGCCCCGCAGCTTGGGCTGCTTGGTCCGATAGTTCGAGAGGGGGTGGGACCTCCTGTCCCGGCCAAGGGCCAAGCTGAGCACTGTTCCGATTCACCTCGATTCACACACACACACCATTATTTTACTCATGCAATGTACCTTCACTCCACTTTTGGCATTCCCCTTTCAGATGCCGAAAAGAAGGCAAAAATTTGGCATTCATTAAGGAATGCGAAAATGTTGGCCGGCAAGGTGTTCATGTTCGTTCAGCGTCTACAGTGTCATCATAACGCGTCCACTTTACCACCTGGAGACAGTTTCTTTACGCAACAATCACAGAGTGTAATGCAAATGTTTTTAAACCCTCTCTGGGGCCGCGCTACCCGTCCCGTCGCCGCCCCTCCAGCCGGGGCCTCTCCAGTGGCCCCCGGCCTCGGCCGCTCGAGAGCCTCACAATGCGGCCTCTAATTACCTACCGCCGCCGGCCGCCACCGCCTTCGCGATCGACGACCAAGAGAGAACGAGAGGCTGTCCCTTAGAGGCGGTTGCCATTGGAAAACTGGACGAGCCCCTCCTCACTCCCGTCCCCCTCTCCGCCACCGCCGCCCCACTACAGCTCCATACCCCGCCCTACCCCCGTTGGGCCGCTGGCTCCCCGTTCCACCCCATTGGGCTGACTAATGAAGGGAGAAACAAAACCGTGGCGCCAGCTCGGCTAAAGAGCGTAAATTTTCGCTTTTCTTGCATTTTTTTTCTTGGCCGTTCTAAAACAAGAAAACGACACACTGTGCCACTTTTTTCATTAATTATTTACACTGATAAACTAAGCGTGTAACTGCTTAACACTTGTAAGTGTGCAACTTTATCAGTGTATTTCCATCTCATATGCGTGTTCAAGAAACACCAAATTATGTTTGGACTTACTATTTCGTTTGATGTTGCCATGTACCACGTGTGTTTCGTATTGTGGAGGATGCGAGTCGCTCATTTCTCACCCCGAAGCGTAGCTAGAGAGCGCGGCGCACGCAGGTAAACTTTCCCGCAGTGATGGTGCGGTGGCGAACCGGTTCAAGTTTCTGCCCCAGCGCCGCCCCGTCACACCAGCCCGCCCCCGCCCCTTCCAGTCACACCAA